GCCGTGGAAAAGGAAGGGCCCCCTTTCCTCCAAGAACTCAGGGAGGCTGGAGCTCCGAGAGTTCGCATTCCAGCGCTGCCACTCCCTAGCTGTGCATCCCAGCCTCAGCCTTCACAGCTGCAGCATGGGGGCAGTGCTTTTGGTCAGAGGATTGTTGTGAAGGTGCCTAGCACTGTGCCTAGTGCACCAGTCCATCTGTCAGCTCTTGGGTGAGGATGCATTTCATGGTGAGGAGATTTGAGGATGCTCCTGTCTGACGGCCTCTCCAGACTGCGGTGTTGCTTGCTGGCGAGCAGTTCCTGCAGGTCGGTTACAGGGAGGCTGAGGACACTGGAACAGGCTTGGAGTAGGTGGGTGGGAGAGGGAGGGCGATCACCAGGAGTTCCCAGGGCATGGAGGGTGCTGCAGAGGGCGGAGGCCATCACTTCACAGTGGGCAGGAGTGCAGATCTGCCTTAGGCACATTTGGATGCCCAGGACCTGAAGGCAGGGAGAAGGCTGAGCTGTTGTTTGCTTTCTCAAGTGTGGGGACTGGTCAGATTTGGAGGTCGTTCGGTCAGGAAGCATTTACAGAGGAGGCCACTGTGTGCGGGGAGCATCCAGGGAACAGAGGGAAGGGATCTGATAGCGCTGGCCCTCCTGGAGTTTGGTCTGGTCGGGGAGATGGAAGGACGAACTGGAGCGAGGGGCGATGCTGCTGTGACCTAAGCAGGTGCAACAGGCAGCGGGCAAACAGGCGAGGGAGAGAGTCTAGTTCTGTGTGAGGCAAGAGGAGATAGGAGGATACAACCAGAAAGAAATGTGCTGGAAGCGTGTTAGGAGCTCACAGAATCAAGGGAGGAGGCTGGGGAACCACGCAGGAACCTAGACATTTCTGGGAGGCCAGGTAGCAGGAGCTATAAGGACAGTTCAGAGCAGGAGGAGGCTGATCAGACACGCTACCGCGGGGGTGCACAACTCATTTTGCGGCTCGTGTAACGCTGTTCAAGAACCCAGTCCTCAACTGGCCTGGCGTGGGTCTGATGCTCTTCTTGTGGCTGGGAGAGATGGAGCCGCTGGTGACAGTTCAGCGGGCCAAACTCCAGGAAAGGAGTCACCTCTTAAAAAGAAGTTAGGGTGTGTGTGTGGGGGGAGCGGTCATTAGGAAGAACCACATGTCAACTGCAGGGTGAGTCAAAGCCCATTTGCAGGATGGAGCCAGTGTTCTAGGCTGCACCCACTGCAACCTCTGGAGCCCGACTTCCTGGGTAGAAATCTGGCTTCTGCACTTATAGCTGTGTGACCTCGGACACATTTCCTGCCTTCTTTTTGCCTCTGTTTTGGTGTACCCTCTTGGAATGTTACTGTGAGGATTAAAATCAGTTAATTTGTGTGCATTGTTTAGAATAGGGCCTATCACATGATAACTGTTCAGTAAGGCGCTGTAGTAATAATGGTATGTGGTTGTAGTTGTTGTTACGTGGTTGTGTGGTTGTGTGGTTGTTGTCATTAAAGGAACTATATAGGGGGCATGTCAGCATGCCTGGCAGGTGGAGGAGTGATGAGGGATGAATACGGCTGTTGGGAGGGGAATAGATTGGGAGACAGGGAGACCTGCTGGGAACTCTTGGGGTTGTCCATGTGAGCTATGATAAAAGCCTTAACCACGGGTGTGCAGTGGAAACAGAGAGGAGGGGATAGATTTGAGGGGGCATTTAGAGGTAGGATTTGTTAGGGCTCAGAGACTGGTGACAGGGGGGTTGAGGGAGAAGGAAAAGGCTGAGTCGGCTCTGTAATGGTGGGGTTTGGTTGTTTGGGTTGATGGCGGTGCCTTCCCAGTAGCAGGGAGCCCGAGTGGAGAGGCTAAGTTCAAGTCTACGGTGCAGGATATGCGAAGCGAGTATTCCCAGGGCCACAGTGTTTGACTACAATGATATTAGTTTTAGCAATGATATTATGTTGTGAGGTTCATTGCCCCTTAAATAATAGCAAACCCACACTTTAAATTAAATTAAAACATTTTTCGTTTGATTCTCCTGAGCGGACCCACACATGCATTCTCTGCTAGTTATTACTGAGAATGACTAAGAGTTATAATTGAGCTGAAAATAATCTCCCGCCCATACTTGCTGGTTGGTTTCTAAGTATTGCTTGGGCTTAAAGTAATGAAACAAAGTTGTGCTCTTTCCAAATGTTAATTTTGAAGACAGCAGCTGGTAGCCATCTGGTACACCATTAGCATTTTACAATATTTGATTAGCACTTTATATAGTTTGGGGAAGCCTGCCAGTGGAATCTGCCCGTCAGAAGGGGGGCTTCAGTGGTATGTCCTCTCCAGTGGCACTTGAAGGTCTCTGCCGCATTGGACGGGGTTCCCCTCAGTGTGTTGGGCTGAAGTGCGGCTAGTCAGACCGGCAAGTTGATACTGGGGGCATGAGGACCTTGGGGGCCCTGCCCTGTTTGCACCCTTCCTTAGAGCTGGGATCCTCAGCTCACCGTGCAGGCACAATTTGGGAGACTAAGATTTTCCGATCAGTTCAGATGCTTTTCGTTGCAAGCAATGAAACAAACCCAAACTGCTTTGGCAAATGGGATTGCCTTGGATCGTTGAAAAGTCTAGAGGTGTGACTGCCTTCAGATGGATGGTTTTAGAGCTCAAATGAGTTCTTCAAACTTAGGTATTGCTCAGATTCTCAGCTCTGCCTTCTGCTGTGGCTTCGGTCTCAGGCTTCAAGAGGAAGCAAGATGGCTTCCCTGAGAGAGAATAAGTCCTCGCCCTATCAGGTCTAGAGAGAAAGAGTTGAGTCCTTTCCAGTCAGTCCTGCAGAGGTGTTGAGATTCACTCAGGCCCCATCACGTGCCCATCTGTGAACCAGTCACAGATTGGTGACCCCTGGATGCAGGCCTCTGATTGGTCAGGCTTGGAGTGGAGCTCCACCTAGATCTTGTGGGCTGAAACCTGGCCAAGAGCAGGTCACCAGCTGCACATCTGGGGCTGTAACCAGAAGGGAGGATGGGTGGTGAGGGGCAGATAACCACCTGCCCACCCCAGTGTCAGAGCTAGAGCCCAGAATACCATGAGCAATTGGCAAAGTTAGCTGTGGAGACAGACATTTATTGTTGCCAGGAAGAGAACATGCTGCAAAAGGAATGAAGGAGCCTCTGAAATGAGTGCTACTCAGTGTGTTTCTTTTCTTAGTTTAAGGACCTTTGATAGATTTAGAATTCTGGTTCTTCCTTTTTTTTTTTTTTTGAGGGGGAGGGGTTGTCCTTTTATTTTTATTTTTAAATGTTACTTTAAAACTAAGGCCAGTCACTTAATCTTGGTCTTTTAGCCCCTTCATTTGGAACATAGTGAGCTTCTCTGTCATAGAGGGGAAATCTGTACAGAAGAGATAACAGATTCCATTCAGTCCAGTTCAATAAACAGGGCACCAAGCACTGGGGCCTGGGCCAGGTTCCACAGGCCTGGCAGTGGATGAATCCCTGGCAGTGTGGGAAGCACTGTGTCAGCTCCATAAACAGGGTACCACTGGCCCCTCGGGAAGACAGTTGGGAAGGGCTTCCCAGAGGAAGTGACAATGAGCTGGACCTGTAAGGATAAACATGAGTTCCTCACAAGGAGAGTGGGAAGGGAGCTCATGCCCAGGTTGCTCATGCACAAAGGCACCGAGAGGCAGCTTACTTGCTGTTTTGGGGGGTCTGGGAGAAGGTCTTCGTGGCCGACTCTGGGATGGGCCCAGGCATTGGTCTGGAGGAGACTGGGAAGTAACAGGCTGGAGGCAGGGACTCCAGGCGAGATGCTGTGGCCGAGGTCCTGGCAGGAGCCCACTGGGCAGTGAGCGTAAAGCGGGGGGGGGGGGGGGGGGGCAGTTATGGGCTGGGAGATACTTAATGGAACCTTAACAAATCCTTATGTTCTAGAATCTACTGTTGGGAAAAATATCTATGCTCTTGAGTAGGAAACTCAATTAAGAAAATAAGGGGCCAGATCAGAGTTGTGGGTTCTTTGGAAAGAGCCATTATAAATACAAAGCACACAAGTATGGGTTCTGCAGACACACGGGAGTATATGACATTACGGTTCCTTTTATATAAAACTCAGGGAAATGCAAACTCGTCTGTAGTGACAGAGAACAGAGGTTGCTTTGGGGCGGGAGGGTGGCGAGGGCAGGCGGGAGGGAGGGGTCACCGAGAGGCTGGAGGACACTTGTGGGGGTGCAGGCGTTCACTCTGTTGATTGTGATGATGGTTTCTTAGGTGTGTACGTATGTCGACACTTACCAAATTGTACACTTTAGATATGTGATTGTATGTAAACCACATCTCAATCAAGCTTTAAAAATTAAAAAAAAAATTCGGGCTCTGGAGCCCATCGGGTTCATGTCGCAGCTGCGTGGCCTTGGGCACATTGTCAGACCTCTCTGTGCTGATTTTTTTAAAATGTGCGCATTAATCACATGTAAAGCATATAGGACAGAACAAAAGCTCACTGTCATTCCTGTTTATAACACACAGTAAAGTGAAATCATGCAGAGCCCTCCGGGTTGTCTGTCTCAGACTTTAACATCCACGTGAATCTCCTGGGCATCTGATTACAGTGCAGGTTCTGTCTAGTTGGTCTGGGGTGGGGCTTGAGACTCTGCATTTCTAACAGGCTTTCAGATGATGTGGATGCTATTGGCCGCACTTAGAGTAGCGAGGTTCAGACCTTGGGCACCCTGCCCCCTGTTGTTTGAGGTTAGATGCTTTCTCAGCAATTGTAATACAGGCTTTTCCTGCTTGTTTCCCCTACTCTGCCTGCCAGTGACACCTCCTTACCCACATTACCTGAGGTTGGGGTCCAGAAAGAAGATGCCAGGATGAGGCTGAACATCTCACTTTTGTTCCTTGCTGGCCTGCTTTGGGCTGAGACTTCTGCAAGATTGAGTGCCCAGCCCACTGCACAGAGCACTGGAACCTGGGGGCCAAGGCTGAGAGTCATGGCCTGATGCCTTAGGAGTGATGCTCTGTGTTTTCCAGGGACGGACGGTCTGCAGATGGCCCCACTCCCAGGGGCAGAGCTGGTCCGGAGGCCTCTGCAGCTCTACCGATACCTGCTGCGCTGTTGCCGACAGCTGCCCACCAAGGGCATGCAGGAGCATTACAAACACACTATCAGGCAGGTGGGAGCAGGGTGTTCTGGGCCGGGGGTTGGGGGTGCTTTCTATAACAGAGGGCCTAGTACAGAGTTGGGAGCCAGAGGCAGGGGCAGGGATGGTCTTTCAGGGGGTGGTGGGGTGGCAGTTCAGTAAGAGCCACCAGAAATCAGTGCTGGGCAGCCCAGCCTGTCCCTCAGCTTTTGTTCAGGAAACAGGATGGATGCAACATCCAGCCCCCAGCTCTGCGCCAGGCCTTGAATCAGGCAGCTGGCTGCAGAGTGGAAACAGTGTGGGGCCCATCATCATTGTGACAGGCATTTCTGTCACCCAAGCCCACCTGAATGTAACCATGAGAAGACATCAGTAAACCCAAACCAAGGGACCGTCTATCACACAACTGGCCTGTTCTTGTCATCATGTCAATGTCATGAAACACAAAGAAAGGCACAAGGACCACTCTGGTCTAAAGGGGACCAAAGAGATATGATCACTGAGTATAATGCATGGTCCCAGATTGGATCCTGAACCAGAAGAAAACAATCATTGTAAAGGATATTATCGGGGAAATTCATGATGTTGGAGTATGGGCTATAAATTACAGAGACACAGCTGCACTTTATCAATGTTAAATTTTCTGAATTTGATCACTGTGGTTGTCAGGAGAATGGCTCATTGTTAGGAAGTGCACAGCGAAGTGTTGGTTAAGAGCTTGTCTGCAACTTTTAAAAGCTCCTAAAACTTTTCTACAAACACAGATAAAGAGAACCGTGAAGCAAAATGTTAACAGTTGGTGATTCTGAAGGCAGTGCTTTTGTTCTTGGCAGCTTTTCTATAGGTTAGAAATTACTTACAAATAAAAAGTTAAAAACTAAATGAATACATATATAATATAGAAAGCAAAAAGACAGAGGAAGCAATAGAGGGATGTGGAAATGTGGAGAAGGGAGCAGGTAGTTGCCTGAGGGGGTCAAGGAGGACTTCCTGGAGGTGAGAGCACTTGAAGTGCATGCTTCCCAAAGACAGGAAGGGGGAGGTGTGGGGTCCAGAGTAACAGGGCAGAAGAGGTATCTGTACTTTTGAGGGGCCCTGAGTGCCCTGCATGAACCTGAACCTCATGCTGCTCCTCCAGGGTACACATCTGGTCAAAAGCCAGCAGCAGCCCGGGCTCTGCACTGGGCCTGGCTGGGTTTCCCCAGACCGCCCTCTCCACGGCCCCTGCCTTCTCTACTTGGCTTTCCAGTGTGGGCCAGGAGAAGCCCCGTTCTTCCCCACTGTGAAGCCAAGTGGAGATCTCGCCCTAGTGAAAGCAGCTTCTTGGCAGGAGCAAATGAAACACAGGGATGGAAATTTTCATTAGGCCTTTTACTGACCCCCGCTTCCCCCTACCTGATAGCCTTTGGGCTCTGCTTGATTTGGGGTTAACTTGAGGGTCACTCTTCCTTTTCACAACTGCCCTGCAGGCAGGAGTATGCAGTCAGTTACACCAGGATTCAAATGCTGACATCATTGCTTAGCAGCAGGTTAAGACTTCGGAGCCTCTGTGTCCTCATCTCTATGTGGGTGCTGAGTATAAAGCACCCACAGCGTGCCTGGCCTGTGACTGGTTCTCTGAAGCTACTGGGCCTGTGAATTTTGCCATCATCTTTTTTTTTATGCTTAAACTTTCAGAGTTTCCAGGTTCATTCAGATGAAGACAATCCTGAGAGAATCCAGCAGATTATTAAAAGAGCCATTGAAGATGCCGACTGGATCATGAACAAAGTAAGCGCTGGGCTCTGACACCGTGAGCTATAATCTCCGTGACCAACAGGGGTCGCCTCTGCTCCACCGTTGAGAATAATCCAGCTGCTCCCCGCCTCTGGGAGCCGAAACGTGCTGGATGGCACATGCCCTTCTGATTGCATTTGTGTGTGTGTGTGTTGGAGGAGGGGGGACACACCCTTAATTCCTAAGGGCAAATTTTTGCCTAACAGTCCTGAATAAGCCAAGATGGGGCAGCAGGAAGAAGAGAGCAGTCTGACTAGAAGAGGTGGTGACAAAGCCACCAGCAGTCCTGTGATGTCTCAGAGAAGAGAGCCATTTGGGGCAGGGGGTTGTGGAAAGGTAGTGAGCTCCCTGTCTCTGTAAGTATCCGCACTGAGGCAGGGTTATTAAGGAAACATTCAAGTGTCTGTTTTGGTGGAGAAAGGGAGGGAGTCAGGAATACAGACTGGCTTGCTGGTCCTTACACTTTGGCATTAGAAAACCTAAAGAGCTAGAACATGCCTCACTTTCCTGTCCTTCTCAATCCGAATCTGCAGATACTGGGTCCAGGATTCATTTTTTAAAACTCTGATTGGGCTACGTGGCTTCTGAGGTTCCCCTCTACCTGAGGTGGTTTTGCCCCCAAACAAGACTCCTCTTAAAGGGAATGATGGGCATGCCACTATGTTTAATTCTAACTCCCCAGTGTCTTTCTTAGCCTTCCTTCCAACCCGGTTCCCAGTAGAGAAGAAAGGGGGGATCCCAGCACCAACTAGAGATTCTACCACCTTCAAAAGGCCCCTGTAGGGGACGCCTGCGGCCCAGACGGCCCCAGGTCTCAGGGTTTCCCTGGTCCTCCCTCTCCCATCGCTTCCCTCACCCACTTCTAATGATCTCTCTGTCTCGCAGTATAAAAAACAAAACTGAGGCTCGGAGTGGAGCTGTCCTGAAGACACTGACGTTGAAGACCTCACTGCTCCTGCAACTAATCAGAAGCAGCAGTTCCAGACTAGCCATTGGTCTCGTTGGTTGAGAGAGCAGGAAATCAGCAGTGGAAGAAGCTGACATTTGCTCAGACGGCTCTTCTAGCCATGTTCATGTCTCCAGTGACCTTTATCTTTGCTTTTCCAGCCAGTTGTGATGTGAGATTTGGGGAAAATGTGTTTCTTCACTTTGCTGTGGAAGTGATTCATTTATTCTGGACGTCATCCTTTGAGACCCGGAGTGGGCGTCCGTCCCCTCGGATGGTAGCCTGCACAGAGGACAGGGCATGGATTTCAGAACCAGACAGCTGGGTTTGAATCCCAGCTCAGCGGATTTTCAATTTTGACTTTGAGCTTGGTTTTCTCCCTTGTGAGAATTAAATAAAATGAAGTCAAAGATCCTATCACAGGACATGGTGCTTGCTGGTACCAGGAAATGTCCCTCTGAGGAAACCGTCCCCTCCACTCCCTCCTCTGCTCCCACAGTGCTCCACGCACCTCTCTCTAGCCCAGTCCGCATTGTGTCTCACTTGTTTGTGGTGGCCTGTCCCTGCTTGTCGCCCTCCCTGCCTTCCCCAGGGTGCCTGAGCCCTCATAGTCACACTGTACCCAGCACTCTGCCAAGCACCCGCGCTCCCAGACACCGTCCCTCCCTGCTCAGAGAAGCAGAGCCCAGGTCTCTGCCTTCTTGGAGTTTACAGAGTCCTGGAGGGGTGGAATGCAGCCTGTGTGAAATAAGAAAGAACACTAACATGTAGCACTGACGTGATTAGGCCTCCATGAGCCTGTGATCTGTCTTGACTGTCCCTTCCTCCCTTTGCCACCATCTTGGAAGGAGGGGAGGGAGGAAGCCAGCAAGCAGTTGTGCGGGTTCTTGTGAGCCTGAAATTGGTGGAGAAAGACAGACCTGGGTCACACCGCAATGCCACTCAAGTTGTGGTTGGGTAACTCGCCTCTTTCAACCTGGCTTGCCCCATCTGTCCAGTGGAGTAATGACTGCACCTAGCTCAAGAGCCATGGAGAGGAGTGATGCACAACAAGTGGTCATCCGGCTAAACTGCTAGGGAGCCCTGCTTTGCAGGTGGGATATGGAAGCTCAGAGAAGTTGAGCCACAAAGCTCAACTTTTCAGGCCCTTTTCAGAGTCACAAAGCTACTTTTCAGGGCCAGGGTTTGGGAGAGCAGTGTCCCTTGCCTGTGACTGGCTCCTGGGGGTGGTCCTGTGACCTTCCGTTCACAGTCAGTGCCAATCCAGGTGTGCTGAGTCTCCCAGGAGGCAGGCAGTGGTTGTCCTTCCCCAGCGAGGGGCGCCCAGGAGGGCACTGGCAGGGCGGACGGCTTCATTAACAACGTGCTGGCAGCTCTCCGCCAGCCCCAGTGATGCCAGAGGGGACAGTGAGCACGTCACCAGAGGCAGGCACCCGGAAGCACAGGTGGAGGCAACAAGGTAGAGGAGGCAGGAAAACGTGGCGGGGTGCACAGGTGTCAAGAGCAGGGGGCACCGTGTGTGAAGCACGGGGGAGCCTCTCCCATCCTCAGTAGTCTTCCTGAGCTGTGTTCTTAGACTTCTATCCTTCACACCCTGCCTCATTTGCCTGGATGGGTGGGCCTTAAATCACCCAGGTTTGGGGCCCTTAAATGCATTCAACTGAAGGCTTACTGAGTCGCCTCCAAGCAAACACAAACGCGAAGGAGATGAAGGCTCGTTCATCGACAGGCAGTGTGAGCTCCAGAGCCAGGCACCTGAGTTGAGATCCCAGGTCTGTCACTCAGTAGTGACTTTGGGCGAGTTCCTTAGCTGTCACCCTGACTTTCCTCACCTGCAGCCCACCATACATCCCACGGAGTGGTGATGTTAAGGCTGTGAGCACACATAGGCAATCAGGTGACCGCCTTCTCCCTTGTCTTGGCTTTACCCGCTCACGAACCTTCTCCTCAGGCGGGTCTCTCCTCTGCTCCCTTGTATCTGCTATTTGGGCGCAGCGTCCTCAGGAAGGCATCCGCTGTCTGTGGTCTGCACCCTGGCCGGTGCTGTTTGCAGTCTCACTGCTGTGCTGGCACGGGTGTCCACAGTAGAAGTTCTAGGTCCATCTGGACAGTGATGGGCAGCTGCTGTCCAAGGACGTCAGGCCTCCTTCAGGGAACCTGTCACACTTGGAGGCTGGTCCCTGGGGTAATGCTCTCTTGAGTCCTGCCACCACCAGTTGCTCCCCGGGACAGAGCCTGGCCTGCTGTACACGGATTCCTTTCTCTCCCTTGTGCTCCTGTCTTCCTGAGTGGTAAAGACTTGAGATTCCCCCATTCAGCTCATACGGATGAACCCCTGGTAAGGAGGAAAGAAAAAAAGAATTCATCTCCTTTGTCTTTAGAATAAAAATATTATAAATACCATGTAGCATATTGAGATGCCATATTTAAAAGAAAAATGGTGCCCCGGCATGTGTCTCAGTGGGTTGCAGTGCTGTCCTGTACACCAAAAGATTGCAGGTTCGATTCCTGGTCAGGGTACAGACCTAGGTTGTGAGTTTGATCCTGGTTGGGGCATATATGGAAGGCAACTGATCAGTGTTTCTCTCTATGTCTCCTCCCCTTCCTCTCTCTCCAGGTGGCACAGATTCTTAAAAAGCTACATGCTTGTTTCTGACTTAAAAAGTGAATGAGCTCTATTACCAGAGAGATCTGGGCTCATATCCCGATCTGGGCACTTGCTAGTTGTGAGAATTACCATACTTTCCTGAGCCTCAGCTTCTTCATCTGGAAAATGGGATAGGTGTGGAGTGGGGGAGGCAGTAATCCTTTCTCCACAGGGTCATTTAGAAATAATCACATTGTAACACCAACAGCCTGCAGGTTGAAGATCCCTGCTCCTCCTCTGTTCTCTTTCCTTTCTGTTGCTCCTTTCACTTATCTGCCCCCTCCCAGATGTGCTGGCCTGGTCTAATAAGCTTTGGGCCTGCCAGAGGGGACTCCAGGACAGAGCTCACAGTTGCTTTCCTTCATTAGCACCTGGCACCCACCTGCCTCCCCCTCCCAGAGAAACGGAGTTCCTGGAGCTGAGCCCATGGGCCTCCCTTTCATCCTCCTTATCAAGCCAGGGTGATGACAGCGAGTGGGCCCAAGACCTGCACCGGTGCTGCCCATGCCCTGTGCACTGGAATGTGGTCAGAGCTTGCTGACCACGTTCTCCGCTTGCTACAGTTAGGGAACTCAAGACATCCTGGCCTTCCCCACCTTGTGCTGCGTTCCCGATATGGCAAGTACTTCCAGGTGCTTATTTTTATACAGGGAAGCATGGGATATCAGACTATTTATTTAGTAAGAATGTGGAGGGATGTGGATATTGCATCTGAGGGGCCATTTGTACCGAAGTCCGTCAACAATGAACCATTCATCCAGACCGGTAAGAGGGGCGGAGTTAGTGGCAGGCAAAGTCAGCAGGTAGAGCAGGAAAAAGTGGCGGACGAACCCAGGTGTGCAGGCGGCGGTTGGCAGATCCCAGGTGTGGGGTGGCCACGGGCAGACCCAGTGAGGGCTCAAGGCGGCTGGCTGACTGTGGTCACACATTCACACACAGATAAACCAGGTGAAAAAAGGAACAGCGAGACAGACCACACAATGCAGGGCCCCAACGCTGGGAAATAAAAGCACCAATTGGAAAAACTTTCGGGGGTCGAGGTGCTGGGAAAGGCTCCCAAGCTCACAGAGAGTTTGTTGGAGAGACCCACAGGGTCCTGGAGGGTGCACAGGCCCACACATCTGGGAACTGGCACCAGAAGGGCCTGGTTTGCTTGTGGGAAACAGCAAAGGAGACCAAAATCCGAGAGAGTGCCATTGCTCCTCTCTGACCCTGCCCCCACATACAACGTCACAACCCAGCGACCTGGGTTGCCCGCCCTGGTGAATGCCTAAAGCTCCTCTCCTCATACGTAACAGGCACAAACAGACCAAAACATTATGGCTCAAACAGAGGAACAAATTAAAGCCCCAGAGCCAATACTTCTAAGCAACCAAGAGATAGCCAACCTATAGGATGCACAGTTCAAAACACTGCTGATCAGGATGCTCACAGAACTGGTTGATTTTAGTCACAAATTAGATGAACAAATGAAGGCTTCACTAAGTGAAATGAAGCAAAATGCACAGGGAACCAATAGTGATGGGAAGGGAACTGGGACTCAAATCAAAGGAGTGGACCAGAAGGAAGAAAAAACAACCAAACAGAAAAGAATGAAGAAACAAGAATTCAAAAAAATGAGGAGAAGCTTAGTGACCACCAGGACATCTTTAAACATTCCAACATCCAAATTACAGGGGTACCAAAAGGGGAAGAGGAACAGCCACCAGTGGAAAACTTATTTGAACAAATAATAAAGGAGAACTTCCTCAATCTGGCAAAGGAAATGACTTCCAGGGAGTCTAGGAAGCTCAGAGAATCTCAGAGAAGTTGGATCCAAAGGGGAACACACCAAGGCACCTCATAATTACATTAGCCAAGATTAAAATGAAGGACAGAATTTGAGAAGCAGCAGGAGATAAGGGGACAGTCACCTACAAAAAGTTCCCATCAGACTGTCAGCAGATTTCTCAAAAGAGACCTTACAGGCAAGAAGGGGCTGGAAAGAAGTATTCCAAGTCATGAAATTCAAAGACCTCCATCCAAGATTGCTCTATCCAGCAAAGCTTTCATTTAGAATGGAAGGGCAGATAAAGTGCTTCTCAGATAAGATCAAGTTCAAGGAGTTCATCATCACCAAGCCCTTATTATATGAAATGTTAAAAGGACTTATCTGAGAAAAAGAAGGTAAAAAATATGAACAGTGAAAGGACAGCAAACTCACAGTTATTAACAACCACACCTAAAACAAAAGCAATCTAAGAGGACAGCTAGGTCAGGAGCAGAAACATAGAAATGGAGATTACATGGAGGGTTAGCAACAGGGGAGTGGGAGGAGGAGAAGGGGGGAGAAGTTACAGAAAATAAGTAGCATAGATGATAGGTAGAAAATAGACAGGGGGGAGGGCAAGAATAGTATGGGAAATATGGAATCTAAAGAACTTGTGACACATGGACATGAACTAAAGGGGGGAATTGTGGGGGAGGGGGTGTGCAGGGTAGAGGGGAATGAAGGGGGGAATAGAACAACTGTAATGGCATAATCAATAAAATATATTTAAAAAAATAAAATAAAATAAAAAGCTCGGGAAAGTTTCCAGGGCGATGTGCCTCTATGGGGCCACGAGACAAGCCAGTTTGGGGATGAAAGAGGGAGATCTTCCCTGGAAATGATGCCAATTGACCGGAATAAATATTTTCATCCTATCCATGTTCCCAAAGGCCCCATTGGGGCCTGTTGGGGGATCCCCATGGGGACTGTACCAGCAATTAGGGAACAGGGTAGGGGCCA